TTTTTTTTTTTTTTTTTTCTCTACATTTCACGTCTAAAATTCTCTAGCCTTATCTGGCCAGAAAATACGGATGTCCCAGGGCAGGGGGCGGAGAGGCGGGGGAAGATTAACGAGAGGCTTATTAAAGAGCATCCGTCAGCTGCTGCGCTAGGGAGATAGCGGCAGTCCCCGCCCCAGCCGGGGAGCGCAGGGAGCTGGGGGTACTGGGTGCTCCCCCCGCCTGACCTCACCCGGTCGGGGCGCGGCCTGGGGGATCAGGGCGGTTTCCAGCCGGGGCGAGAGTATGTAGCAGCTTTTGGAAATCTCCACCCCCCCGCCCCGAGGCGTGGCTGTGCCTTGAGGTCTTTGCATTTCTGGGGCTCCCTAGGATGCTCATCGCCAGACCTAGCTAATTCCCAGGAACCTCCCAGCCCCTAGCCGCCGAGCAGGGATTGGGAAGTGGTTGACCCGGTCCGCGGTATTCAAGGCCGGTGGGCAACACCAGAGTGTAGTGTCTTTATGCTGGGGACGGTCGACAGCCTCGAGCTTTGTTCTATTAATAGCCCCTCCCCACTCCCACCCCGCCATTCCTGGTTTAATGGCCCATTTCGTGCCAGGTCCCTTTGGCTGCTATGGCTCTTGCTTTCTGCAGTAGTCACTGTTGTGCTACACCGAGAGCAAAGCAGGGCGAGCCCGGGTGTCCATCGCCGCCAAGGGAAACAGGCTCCAGGTGAAGACTGCCTTCCCTGCAGCCGGGCACCTGTGTGTGTGTGTTGAGGGGGCGGTTAGGAAGGGACAGTTACCACCGTCCTATCTTGCCTCCTGCTGCTCCTGCTACAGGTCCCAGGTCAGAAAAGGTCTGAATGCTGCCCTTTGAAACAGGCTGATGTCCTGAAAGGGTCAGGACAGAGTTAAGCTTAACCAAGACTGGGAGTTTGGTGCTCGGTCCGCCAAGAGCAACAGGGGTGAGGGAGGGCTGTCATCGGAGTTTCTTCCTGTTGACAGTTTACACACATACACACACACACACACACAAATCCAAATTTCTGGTAAGTTACAATTTGAGTGTTGAGTAACAGGAGGAGAGAAGAGGACAGCTGGTGTTAAAATACTGTGCCTTGGGGCTGCAGGTTAGAAGGCTTCCCGGTAGGCTTGATGCTGAAAAAAAAAACAGAAAACGGGGTGAGGATTTATTTTCCATACTTTGGAGCAAACTCTGACTTTCCATTTTAATCTAGTGGGAGCGGAATGCAGTCTTTAGTGTTGGTCTTGAATCCACAGCCTCCCTCCACCCTACCCTCCTCCTCCCTTCACCCTAGACCATCATGTACCTGGAGGGTACCTTCTTGAGCTGACAACCAAGGTTGGCTTGACAGCAGAGGAAGGACATAATGGTCCCTTCCCACCCTTCAGTCTCCAGCCCAGGGTTACCCCCTAAGCATCTTTATCTTTATGCCTTGCCAAGATTCAGCTCCCATCCATCCTCTACCCTCTTTCTCCCTACCCCAGGGATTTAAGCTGCGGGGTGGCCCATAGGTATCACTTTCAGTACCCTTAGCTCTGGAGACAGAACCCCCTGGGAGAGTCATCAGACAGAAGAAACCTAGGGTTTTGCCAAGAGCTGGAGAGTGGCTGCAGGCATGGTGGTGTGACCTATATAGAGTAAGTGACAAGGCAAGCATGCCGTAGCTCTGGCTCTGCCAACTCCCAGTATGTCCTTGGTCTTCCATCACTTATCTGTACAGAGTCCCAAACTTGCTGCCTAGGACAGTCTGAGCCATTTTATTTAATGTATGTGTGTGTGAACTGTGTCAAAGACAGAGAAACCTCAAGTATCCTGTATTTCTGGTTTGTCTTGAAAATAAAATAGGAGGAAACTGTCATTGTACTGTTTGCCCACAAAATAAAAAAGGAGCCCCTTGCCCGAAGCAGCTTTGTGCTGGACTTTAGCCCCCTCCCATGCCCATTGGCCATGTGTCCCTATGCTATGCTTAGCTTGGGATTCCACTTGCAAACAACTGCCTGGAGCCAGACACGCTCTGGTTCTTCACAGTCCACTGGGCTCCTGACCCCTGAGTTGAGGAGCAAGAATGAAGAATGCCCATCAGCCCAGAGGTGGAATCCCCACAGGACCCTGCCACATCCTTTGAGGCCAGCCGACTATCTATGGCCTGAACCGCAGCCTCCCTCTCCTCAGCTTTCTTCTTTGCCCTGAAGATGCAGTGCTCTAAGACCAGTTACTCAGGGACTCCTGATAATCACCAGGACCCCTTGCTAGCCAGACTGTTGTGAAAGCACCCACCTCAATATCATCCTCATCATACTTGGAGAAGCTGACAGTTCCCTCCAGGGCCTCTCTGAGTCAAGAGAAGCCTGGATCATTTTAAGTATGTCAGTATTTTAGAAAGCTAACACTTTCCTAACCAAGTGAAATAAACGACAATGTGTATTAAAAATTTATATTAGCAACCTTCAGCACTGCAAAAAGGTTTATATTGTCACACTAATGTTTTTTAACATGAATTATAATGTAATATGAGTATACTGTACATAAGATAATCCCAGGGTCTAGAGGAAATTCTGGTTCTTAGTGCATTACATGAAGTATGGTCCAAAATTGGATGTAGATCTAAAGCTGTATCTCCCTGCATCCTCAAGAACATCTTTGGGTGAGCCTGTGTGAAAACCAGGGGAGACTGTATCTAAAGCCTAACCTGAGACCCTCCTCCCTGCAGCTGACTTCTGAAGGGGATGTAAGTTGGAGGGATGTGGAGGTTCCCAGTAGTGAACCAAAGCTCAGGTAGATAGAGATTACAGAACAAGTCTCAATTGGGCAGAACCTCCCCACATTGGGTCACATGGATTTGGTCTCTCCAGCCAGGCAAACTCCTCAGCCACTGTTCTGGAAGAAATGGAAGAGTGCTATGGGTCATGATCATACATCCCTCTGATGGATGAGTGTGGGTTCCTGGCTCTGGACCCTGGGGGTTTAGAAGGTGAAGGAACTATAAAGAGGAAGAAAAAGGGGTGCAGTTCCCATCTTTACTAGAGCATGTGTATGTGTCCCTCCCACCTCCTCATGTCCTGTGGGTCTTCAGTGATAAGTTCAGAAGGTACTGGGGAACGGGGAAAGGCCTGGTTCTTTGCCTTCTCATTCTTCCCTCCAAAAATAGACTCTGGCTCTTGTGTGTGGGAGGATTCTAATCACCACTGCCTTCCCTGTGTCCCTCTGCCACCCATCACCACTGAATTGCCACCCTACAGCAGCAGAGCTACATTCCCAGATTAACTTGCTGTTCTTTGTACCTCTTGGGACTTTCTTCCAAGCCTATCTTGTGATTACTGTGATTTCCCAAGGATCTTGGTATCTACAAAACAGCTTTGGGGTCATCAAGAAACTTCGTTCTTCCTCTTTTGTGCTGCCTTTAGGGCTATTATTGAGGCTGTGTTGGAAGAGGAAATGCTGAGAAAAAAGTGGGTTTGCAGGGTGGGAGTCTTGAGGAAGCAGAGAACAGGGAGCATGTTCCAAGTTGGCAGGCTCTCCAGCCCTTTGGGTTCAACCCTGCTTCCTGGTCTGCTGCTGGTATTATTTACTCTGCACACAGTGGGTGAGAGAGATTTCTCCTTGGGGGAAGTGATGAGGTACTGTGAATCCCAGCCTGAGCACAGAGTTCATTTCTGTATGCTTCTTGGATGACTTTGTATTTTTTTTATTTTTTATGGGGCCTTTTGCTACTCTAACATTCCCCCCTCTGAAGAGGTAACCCTAAAATCTTTTAGGGATTAGATAAGAGCTCCCAAATGCTTTTAACATTTTTGGCCTTTGGAACAGAGTATGTTGCTAAGAGGCCCAAGAACATTTTGACTTTTAGCCAAGAAACTGGCTGCTTCTTTGGGGTCTTTTTACCCTAACTGCCTAGCCAATACCTACCTCCTATTGTTATCACACCATCCTCTGAAGAGGTTACCCAAATTGCCAATAGGGAATCGGGACATAGATCGCTCTGGCTTCTTCCATGCTGAACAGGGACATAAGGCAAGGCAATTGGGATACCCCTTCTGTGGGTCTATCTAAAAAACTCCCAAATTGCATAACTCTTAACTATAGGGAGAAAATAAAGTCCTTGACTGGTGCCTAGGAGATGTGAAGGATAAGTAAAGGCAAGAGTAGTTAGCATTACAAGTTCTAGACAGGGAACCAGAAAAAAGAACAGGGCAAATTTCAAATGTTCGTATCAGAGTCCATTGGAATTTCTTGATGAGAGCTTCCAAAAGCACTGGGTGACTTTTTGTAGTTATTTTAACAGAGGTTACCAGCTGCCAGACTGAAGCTCCTGGAGCTGGGTCTCACTTACTCTGCTTGCACCCTAAGTAAATAGCAAACTGCTTTTCCACAAATGCTCAATAAGTACTTATAGAAGTCTATGTCAAAGGCCATAAGATGTTTAAGCTTTCTTGTCTTTTTCTCCAGTACCTTTCTGGATTGAGAGGTCAGGAAAAGCTGCACTATATATTTGGGTCAAAAAAATATACTTGTGAGAGTTACCTGATGCCAGAGGAAAACATATTCCTTACCTCCAGTACCTTGCCCCTCCTCCCTCGCCTGTGCTCACCCTCCTCTCAATTGTCCTCATCCTCCTCCTTTTCCTGTCCTTTCCTTTTCTCCCTCTCCCACCCCTCCTCTGTCCTCACCCTCCAGTCCTCTCCCCTCAACCCTCTGGTTCCACAACCCACAAACCCAATGTTGGCAGCATCCTCTCTGGTTCCCTTCCTTGTAAACCCCCTCCCGGGGCTGGTTACTGGAGTGGAAGCTGTGTGGTTGACTTAATTCTGAGTGTGCTGTCACGTTCAGAGAGGAAGATGAGCCATACGTGCTTCTTTTCTCTCTTGCATGACTGGGTCTGTGCCACTGATGACATCTGGCACTGCCCCTCCCCGCCTGAAGGCCAACAGTGCCAGAACCACTATATATAAATCACAGACTAAGCCTGCTTCTCTTAGCAGAAGCAGGAGCCCTGCTTATAGGGTCAGCCAGCCTGCTGCTGGCGCTTAGTGGCTGGGTAGTCCTCAGTCTCTCTGACCTTGCCTCTTGTGCTTTAGGCTTCTTACAAAGGACCAATAGTCTGGAAGAGAAGAGTCGCCTTGTGAGCGCCTTCAAAGAGAGGCAGTCCTCCAAGAACCTACTTTCCTGTGAAAACAGTGACCGGGATGCCCGTTTCCGGCGCACAGAGACTGACTTCTCCAACTTGTTTGCTCGAGGTAGTACCTCTTTAGGCCCACCCAATGCTAACCAATTGTTTGAGTGTCTTGGTTTTCCTGAAATTTTATTCTTTCACCAAGAAATGTCATTCTCTATGAATCCCAACCTGTGCTCAGAATTCATTTCTGTATGCTTCTTTGATGACTTTCTATAGTTATTTTAACATGAAACTGATTTTCTGACTTTGGCATATAAGAGACTCCCTCTTTCCTTACTGCCCGAGTCCCACGGTTTTGGAAGGTAGATAAGGGAAGTCCGTAAGTCGGTCGGTTCTAAAGGCACAGTGACAAATAGGGATTCTTAGACAGTAGATTCCAAAGGAATCTTACATATCAGAGAGCCTAATGGTTCCCTCAGTAGCATTTATCCTCCAAGATTCCTCCCCTCAAAGCCCACCCTGTGGGAAGCTGTGCAGCTGAGTCTCACAACCAAGGATGGGAGACTCATATTCCCTCTGCAGCCCCTGAGCAGCCCCTTGGGAGGTACTCTGCCAGTCTCTCCTGAGCAGCTCAAGAGTAGCCTCCCACCACTCCTTCCATTAGCACCACAGAACCACAGAAGTCACAGCTTCAGTAAACCTGGACATAGTCATGCCATGCACAGCCACAGTACCCACTCTTGAGCTATGCTGACAAGGGGTCAGGGGTCCCCACAGCTCCTCCTTGGCTCAGCCCTCTTCCTAACTCTGCCTTACAGAACCTAGAGCCCAAGTCACCTCCAGATATCTCAAAGTCTATGCCCCCAAAGGATGACATCAACAGAGAGGTAGGGATCCCCATCACTTCCTGGAGTTCCTTTTTCCACCTCTCCTTTAGTGACTGAGGATACCATGAAGAACCACCCTCTTCAGGAAGGCCTCATCTTCTTCCACAGCAGCCTCACCCTCTGCCATCCACAGATCAAGCAAATAATTAACATCAAGTCAGACGTACAGGGATACCTGGTCTCCAGGAGCCCATCAGAAGTACCTTCAATGGTGTTCCTCCCAGGTTTCCATTCAGCAAATTGTCAGTTTCCAGGGTCAGCTGCTCATGGCTTCTCTAAATACTCCATCTTCTATATGAGCAGCCCAGCTATCAGGAAATGTGTAAAGTGCCAGGAAATGCATCAGATGTCTGTGTGTGGACATAGGTACATTCTTCTAGGGATCAGGATATTATGGCTGGCCCAGGAAACCCAAGTACGAGGCAGGTAGTTACCACGTTTTGACTTTCCCTCCCTACTTAGATCTGCTTCCAGCTAAGAATGGAGAGGACCAAACTGTGCAGTTCTTGCTGGAAGTGGTCGACATACTCCTCAACTATGTCCGCAAGACATTTGATCGCTCTACCAAGGTGCTAGACTTCCACCACCCACACCAGTTGCTTGAGGGCATGGAAGGCTTTAATTTGGAGCTCTCTGACCACCCTGAGTCCCTGGAGCAGATCCTGGTTGACTGCAGAGACACCCTAAAATACGGGGTTCGTACAGGTAAGAACTAGAGCCAGATGGACCATTCATCTCACCTACATGGTTGGGAACGGAACCAATTGGAGGAGAAGCACCACCCTAGTGAGGAAGGGTGTCCAGGTTCTCAGTGACCACAAGGTCAACCCTGAGCCACAATGGCTGGAGTGACTCTGATAAAAACTCATCATTTCTTTTAAAAGTAAAAAAAGATGTAGTTATATGTTAATAAAACCTGTTGAGTTTTTGCTTTAAACGGTTCAGAACCTGAAGAGAGCAAAGTGACCCATTCTTTCTGTTTTTTCTCACTCCTACCTTCATTCCCATTCAGCTGTGGTGAACCCAACCTGCCTAAACCTGTCACTGGTACTAAAGAACTGGGCTGTTTCCCTCCTTTAAGGTGTCTGTTTCTGATGGTTGTCACCACAAACAACAGAGATTTATTCCCTCACAGTTCTGGAGACTGGATGTTCAAAGTGAAGGTGCTGGCCGGGCTGTGCTGTCTTTGAAAGCTCTCAGAGAAGATCTAGCCTCACCTCTTTGGTTTCTGGTGCTTGAAGCTTTTTCCTTGGCATTTCCTTAACTTGCAGACACATCTCTCCAGTCTCTGCTTTACCTCCATGTGGCCTTCTCCCTGTGAATGTTTGTCCATATTCTCCCTTCACAAAAGGACACCGCTTTGGATTAGGGACTGGCCTGATCCACAGTGGCCTCATCTCACCTTGATTGCATCTGCAAAGACCCTATTGCCAAGTAAAGCCAGAGTCACAGGACAAGGGATTAGGACTTGAATTTATCTTTTTGAGGAATGCAGTTCAATCCAGAACACCTCATTAGCTTAGCTCAAAGGGGTCTCTGTCTCTGTCTCTCTCTCTCTTTCTCTCCCCTTCCCTCCCTCCCTCCCTCTCCTCTCTCCTCCCGTCCTTCCCTCCTTCCCTCCCTCCTTCTCTCTCCACATCCTATTTTAAATGAGTCACCAAGTCCTATTTCCCACTAGGAGGCTTCAAGGTTGTCCTTTGCATCCTTTTCCTGTTAACTGAGTCCTCTCTAATCAGCAATCCTAGCTCAAGTAATACTTTCCAAATGCCTCAAGTTCAAAGACTCTTAAAATCTCTCTCTGATCTGTTTCTTAGCACAGAAATAAAGAACAATTCCTTCACCTTGGTAACTCCCACCCCCAGCCTGGCTTTACTGAGCTCTAGGGCAGACAAATCTTTAGGAATTGGGGATCTTTGGCACAGTTCCATCACAGGGGGATGCCCCAAGACCAGGCCTGACAAACTCTTGTTCTTTTTACTTCTTTCTCTATCCTTTTTTACTTTCTCTCATCTAAACCTGTAGAAGAAAGACTGAAGATCAAGATCTGGGAGCTTGGTAGCCATAAGGCTGAATATGGCTACTTCATGCCAAAAACAAAGTATTACAATGAATTAATGAGGTTGGCCAAAGAAGGTTTATTTTTTTGGGAGGGGCGTTGTTTTTTTGTTTTTGTCTCCTTTTTTTTCTGAGACAGGGTCTCCCTGTAGTCCCAGCTGTCCTGGAACTTACTATGTAGACCAAGCTGGCCTTGAACTCAGAGAGGTCCGTCTGCCTCTGCCTCCCAAGTGCTGGTAATAAAGGCATGTGCCACCACGCCCAGCTGGGGACTACTTTTTAAAAAAATATTATAATTTTTCAGGGCTGGAGAGATGGCTCAGCAGTTAAGAACACTGGTTGTTCTGGCAGAAGACCCAGGTTCAAATCCCAGCACCCACATGGCATCTAACAACTGTCTGTAACTCCAGTCCCAGGGGATCCAACAGCCTCTTCTGACCTCTGTGGGCATTGCACGACATGGGTGCAATTACCTATACACAGGCAATGCATGCATACACATAAAATAAAAATAATAAATACATTTTTAATTAAAAAAATTTTTTGTGTATGAGTTTATTGCCTATATGTATGTAAGTGCACCCATGTCATGCAGTTCCTGCAGAGGTCAGACGAGGGTGTCAAATTCCCTGGACTTGGAGTTATGGACAGTTGTCAGCTGCCATGTGGGTGCTGAGAATCGAACCTGGGTCTTCTGCAAGAGCAGCCAGTTAAGCAGTACCCTTAAATGCTGAGCCATCTCTCCAGCTTCTACTTTTTTTTTTAACACTAACGCCCAGAATAGTGTTCCTCAAAGAAAAACAGATGACTTTGTCATAATATCACTTCATGTCATCTCAAATCTGAAACTTTTCATGGTCAGAGAAAGCATATCATTAGTTCATTGTATTACTCCATTTAGATGTTTAGTCTGTAGCCATCCACTTACAATCTTTAGAGCAGCTTCCGGAAGCAAATATTTGCATTTACAGAGTACATAATCTTCCAAGTGATGTGGAACTTTGTGCTACACCTCAAAGTGTTGGCACTGGTTAATGGATACTATTGTTGCCATGTCAAAAACTAGTTCCTGGTTCCTGGAATATAATTTGGATGTACAGATTATAAGGATAAAATAACCCCCACAGATTGGAAACATTTTAGAGGACATTAGTGCTTAACCAAAATAATGAATTGGGTTTTGATAGTGAGAGCATAGTACTGTAGATATGGTCTATGAAGGGATAAAGATAGCAGTCAAAATTGCTGTACAAATTAACAAAGGACGTCTTTCACAAAGGAACCAGCTCATACAGATTTTCCTTGAGCTGACAGAAAGACGAGGCCGCCTTCAATCACAGAAGCTACTTAGAGGATTGCCAGGCTTTCTTGGTTGCTTTTTTTTTTTAACTCCCCATTATGAAAATTTTGAATTTATGCATAAATGGAATTGTATAATGACTCCCATTTTCCCCAGCACCCAGCTTGAACTATTGTCAACTCCTGCCGGCTTCATTTCACGCGTCCTTCCACCTCTTCCTCTTTTCTGTGTTAAATGCAAGGAAGGCCCTAACAGAATATTATTGCAGTCTCACTTATCTTTATCTTCAAGAAATCTTTTATTAAATTAGTTAACTTTTTTATTTTATGTGTATGAGTGTTTTGCTTGCATGTATGTAAGTGCACCCATGTTGTGCAATGCCCAGGGAGGTCAAAAGGTGTTGGATTCCCTGAACTGGAGTTACGGATGGTTGTTAGCCACCATGTGGGTGTTGGAACCGAACCTGGGTTCTCCCCTAGAGCAGCCAGTGCTCTTAACTGCTGAGCCATCTCTCCAACCCTCTTCAAGAATTCTTTTTAAAAAAAATCATAGTGTCAGTGTCCTAACTGAAAAAATTCCGTTCCTTAATACTGTGAAATAATTGATCACTCATGAATATGTTTTGTTTCTTTTTGTTTAATTCACTAGAATGAGGATCCAGATAAGCCCTTCACACTGCAGTTGGTTGATATGTATCCTAGTCAATAGATTTCTTCCTTCATCTCTTTTTTTCCTTGCAGCTTACTAGTTAAAACTTGACTTAAAAATGACTTTTTCCAGCTAGGAGTGGTGGTGCACGCCTTTAATCCCAGCACTTGGGAGGCAGAGGCCAGCCTGCTACACAGTGAGTTCCTGGACAGCTGGGGCTACAGGGAGACCCTGTCTCAAAAAAGACCAAAAAGAAATTTTTTTTTCCCCCTAACCTGACATTAAGCCAAGAACTACTCAGTGTCCTGTCTGTCATAGTTGAAATCAAAATCTATGGTTGGGCATGGTGGTGCTTGTCTATAATGCCAGGACTTAGAAGGCTAAGGCAGGAGGCACCTCAGCTTGAGGCTAGCCTGGGCTACATAACAAGGCCAATCTGAAAGAGAGAGAGGAAGAGTGAAAGATGGAGGAGAAAGAGAAGAAGGAAGGGAGAGGAGAAAGGAATTGACGTCTGATCTAGGTTGCTATTCAATAGAAATTCTGATGGAAGATTCTGGAAGCATAGGCTGTAGCCATGTGCTAAAAGGTATTGCGGACCTTTGTGATTCAGTGAACAGAGAGGTACTCGTTCACTCTGTCAGTCTGTCTCTGTCCACGTTTTGCCTCTGCTCTGCTGTGTGGTTTTGCTGTATTATCAAAGAGTGACTGCACTTATTTGCAATCCAGCACTATTTTAGAATAAAAGATTTTCTTTTTAAAGTTTTCAAATGGGCACTGCATATGCATATGTGTTGTCAATGGATTTCAGCAGAATTCTTTTTTTTTTTTTTTTTTTTTTTTTTTTTTTTAAAAAAAAAAAAAAAAAAAAAAAAAAGAGGACGATAAATCTTTCACTGTGATATATCAAAATAACAGAAATCTGCCTGTCTCTGCCTCCCAAGTGCTGGGACTACAGGCGTGCACCACCACGCCCGGCTTAGCAGAATTCTTTTTAAGAATATTTTTATTCTTTGAAAATTTCATGCAGGTATACAGAGTATCTTGAACATATCCACCTCCAAATCCCCCTCACACTCCCTCTGGATCCCCCCAAATCCCCCTCCTACCTCCATGTTGTATTTTCTGAGTCCAATTAGTGTTGCCCAAATGTATATGGGTGAGGCCACCCACCTGAGCATGGGCAACCTACCAACAGCCATAGTCCCAAAGAAAAAAGGACCCTTTCTCTCCTAGCAGCCATCAATTGCCATTAGCAGTTCAGCTGGAGGATTTTAACAAAATTCTTTTTGTTTCGGGAGGTCACATATATTCTGTTGGAAGTGGGGCAAATGGAAGAGATGAAATTACTTTGACTAGCCACCTGAACATCTAGAATACGGCCCCATATGCACACGAAGTTCATTGTTTATTATTCTTTTTTACTAAAAATCAGTATTCTATTTGAGGACTCCTAAGGATTGGCATATTTTGATATAAGAAATCATAGTCCAGATGTTTTACGTGAGAACCCCTCACATTTAGAGAAGGACAGATTCTCAGGGAGGGTACTTAGACCAGGAACACTCAAACACTAGCTCTCTGACAGTTATTCCCAGACAAACGCAGTTTCCACTGGAAAAATAGTAGTAGCAAGTCTTTAACACCAGTCCTCTGTCACGCATTCCCTAGATAATCTATTGTTGACTCCTTTGTGACAGCAGAGCCTACTGATGTGGAGTTGAGTTTTTGGCAAATTCTAAGATGGCAAAAACTTGGCAACAGTCATGAGTTTGCCAAGGATACAGCCAACTAAAAAGTATACTGTGGGGTGTACAGGGCTTTCAAGTTACATAGTAAAACTGTCTCTACGCTCATCTCAGTAACTGAGTTAGGACTGACTGGTCTGCCCATTCACAGAAAAGATAGTAGGTCAGCTCAGCACTCAATCAGCTCAGCTCCATTACTTTTGTGGGCACCCAACTCTAGGTGAGCAAAGAACACTGATACTTGATAACATATTTGTCACAGAGACCCAGAGAGTGATGGCTGGCCTCAGAATCAGGTCAGACCTGGTATTTTTCCCAGGCTTGGTTTGGTTCATAGACCTAAGAACTCTCTCTGAGGCCTATAGCCTCTTCACCATCAACTAATCTTGATATTGCAATTAAAATCCTCAGGATATGAAGTAAAAGTTGAAACAGACTTGTAAAGAATAAAAACCACCACATCCTTGGTAGGAACTAAGGCAGGATCTTACCTTGTAGCCCAAGCTGGTCTTGAACACACAGATGTGTGTTCCTCTCACCTCTGCCTCTAAGTGCCAGAATTATAGGCATGTGCCACATCCTTTTTAATAATTAAAGAAATAGATATGACAGAGGAGTTCATCTGAAAGTCCACTAATAAGATATCGGAAAGCATAGGTCAATTCTCAATGTTTTTAAATTTAAAAGTATGCCTTAGAAGCCGGCTATGGTGGCACATGCCTTTAATCCCAGCACTCAGGAGGCAGAGACAGGCAGAGCTCTGTGAGTTCAAGGCCAGCCTTGTCTACATAGTGAGTTCCAGGCCAGCTGGGGCTACAGGGAGACCCTGTCTCAAAAAGACAGGAAAAAAAAATGCCTTAGAAACAAAGAAGTCTGAGGGCATCATTAAGTGCCATTGGTTGGTATAGGGTAGTTAACCTGCTTTTCCTTCTCCAGTATCCTTGGAGAGTGCTATTATTAGACCACAGAATGAAGATTTCATCCACATGGTCCAATAGGACAGCTTTGAAACTCTGGGTTTGCCTTGATACTTGCCTATTATCTCTCTAGGTCACCCTCGATTTTTCAACCAGCTCTCTACTGGATTGGATATCATTGGCTTAGCTGGTGAATGGCTGACATCAACTGCCAATACCAATATGTAAGTCTCATGCATTCTTCTCTTGTAAGCAGTTGTGATGTATAACTATAACTTGTTGCTAAAAAAAAATCCAATTCTAATGGTTCTATTTTCTTATAGTTCATTTTTTCCTCATAAGATCTTTTTGATTTCTCACAGGTTTGGTTTAATAGTGGATATTTGATAAACTGTTCTTGAATAATATAACAAGAGCATACTCAGGAAAAATGGTAACCAGCTTTGAAATTGAGAAACTTCATGTTACCGGACTCTGTTTATCTGAGTGTATAGCTAAAGAAGTCATGTTTGGGGCTCATTTTGGTTTCCTTTCCTACCCAATCACATTGATCTTTATTGCTTAGGCTGTATTTCCTCTATTACTAAACTACTACAAGTCTCAAATCAGTTTGATCAACTCATGATTTAACTAAAAATTCTAAAACAAAGTTCACCTGGCACTGATACCGTATATATTCCTTTCAAAAGAACTAATTATTTTGTTGAGTTTGATATTTTTTAAACCTCATACTTGTTTATGTAGACAATGCCTTAATTTATTTCTTAATTCATATAAATTTATATGAAACTGACTCCACAGTTCTCAGGGTACAAGTTGGGTACTTTTTGCAAACACCCCAAAGTTTCCTGTATACATGTGTCATTTTGGGGGGTAAGAACATGTTACAAGATGTGGAGGGTCACTGTAGCCTAAGGAGTAGAGTCTTTTCTCTCAACAGTTATGAAAATATTTTACCACTATTGATACATCCATACGATAACACTGCATACAATTAAAGCATTCAAAAGAAAATAATTAAACAAATTTCTTATAATAACTTAATAACTGCACAAGAATTATAGGGGTATTCGTCACTGTGGCAGTGCTGGGAAGCTATTTATTTATTATTTAGTAAATATTCGATGGCACTGGGGATCAAACCCAGATCTCAGGCATGCTAAGCATGTACCCTACCACTATGCTACACTCCAGCCCCTGACTTGCTTTTTAAGTTCACTGTAGAATATATTTGAAAAATGAATTTAGGTGAAGGAATAGTATTGTTTAAAGTGAGAAATTCCTTTTGACATCAAGACATAATGCCAGTTATTAAAGTTCAGAGCATTCTATTTTTCTTAAACTATGATCAGTCACAAAGCCAAAAGGGCATTTTAAAATTATGTATTGCTCATATATGTTTCAAAGCTGTCTAAGCCAGGGATGGAAAATACTAAAACTGCATTCAGAAAAGCTTCTGTTAATTAAAGATTCCTGCCTTGTTTGATAATTTAAGACAGACTGAGAAGTTTTTAGAAGTAAATATGACAAGGGAAGCCTTTGGTGTCAAAAGGCATAAAAATTCAGTTGACTGGAAAACGAAAGTAGTTTGCTCCCTGCTCACAAATTGTGACAGCTTCACAGAGTGTCCACCTTGGATCACTGGGACTTCAAAAGACAGAGGAATTCAAGTCAAAGAGGCAATTCATTGGAAGATCTCAAATGAAAAACGCCCCTTGCCAATCTTTGCTGTATGTTCTAGTTTGGTTTGTATTGCTGTGATAAAACACTCTGACCATGAACACTTTGGAGGAAAGAGTTTATTTGGCTTGCATGTCCTGATCACAGTTCATCACTGAGGGAAGCCAGGGCAAGAACTCAAGACAAGAACCTGGAGGCAAGAGCTGAAGCAGAGACCATGGAGGAACACTGCTTACTGGCTTGATCTTCTGGCTTGTGCTCAGCCTGCTTTCTCATACAACCCAGGACCATCTGCCCAGGGGTGGCACCACCCACAATGGACTGGGTCCTCCCACATCAATTAGTAATTAAGGAAATGCCTCACAGACATGGCCACAGGCCATTCTGATGGAAGCAATACTTCAGCTGAGGTTCCTCCTCCCAAGTGTCTTGAGGTGACATCTGAAGCCATCCAGCACACTGTACTATGATTTGTAGAATAAAAGCATATCATCAAGCACAAACATTATAATATACTAATTATAACTTGAAAAACAGACACTAATGATTAACTATAGCATCTAACATGAACAATTTAAATTAGAAAATACCATCTTGTTATTTGAACACAACAATTTAGGACATAAGTGGCAAAGGCAAAGTAAAAGATATACATCTGGGCTGGGGATGTGGCTCAGTGGTAGATCACTTGCTAGGTATCCTCAAGGCCATAAGTTTGATTTCCCTCCACCTCCTAAAAAGTACATATTCAGCAAGGCTCAAATACCCATAGTTACATAGGCACCATATTCACCCAGTATCTCTAAGTGTGTATTCTATTGACCTCTTGCTGTGGCTTCCAGTATATACAGCCAATCTCAAGGTAAATAAAAGGAATTCTCCCCTTTGAACCATTTATGACCAACTCTTCTAAAAGCTTTTCTTCCACCAGAAAGCTTCCACAAATTCCCCACCTTTGGTCTATATATTCATAAAATCAAAGTCCTTACTCTTCTTTTGGCTCAGCTCAGCCATGAAACTCTGAAATATGTCCCAGCCACTGAGGTCAAGGCCAACTCAGCTAAATGACACATAGTAATTGCCTCTGTACTGAGCAGGAGGTATTTATAAAATATGATCCAATTCCAACAGATCGATAGAGAAGGTTATTTAAAATAGTGAAAGAGTTCCTGTCAGTTCTAGAGACAAGCATTGTGTGAGAAGTAATAACTATTCTCTAGACGCTGTCCTCGGCCAAGTCCCTGGGAAGATCATGACATGTGGCAGCGTTGCAGGCACACAGGCAACACTTGTTCCCTTGTGACAATTCCGTCTTCACCTAGACGCCATTCTAAACAATCTTGGAAATGAATGGCAAAGGGATCTTTTCCTGGCAAAGACGTTACTTAATTACTGATATGCTAATTTCCCCTCTGCATCCATTGAGTTTTGGTGACACTTGTGAAAAATAATTAATATATTATCTGGAAAGTCCTTCCAAAGAAAAGATCCAGTATCTTCATTCAGGTGGCAGTCTGACTGGTGGCTCATGCCCACACCTTTATACTGGCTTGTGCATGCAGCTCTGAGAACTGTTCTCCAAGGCAAGGACAGTGAGGAGCCAATGAATATTCATAAATGTGTAGCTGTTCTTGGCATGTGCCCTTCTCCTCTTCCAGAGCAAGTCCACCAAGAACAATTGTGCAGGTTGTGTAAGCAACACCATGCCCTCCAGCACTGGTGGCAATATGTAATCTTAATGGCAAGACCTGTCTCAACTCTTTGCCATGAGGTTGAGATCTCACACATCTACTACCTTATTTTCATGGAAGTTACACTGGAGAAATTTCCCATGGAGTTATCAGTCATCGCACACTGAGGGGCAAGCTGTTAGAGCAGAGCCTCAGTAAGCAATACTCATTTGTCATGGAATAAGAGCTGTGACATAGAGGACTGGGAAGAGACTCTGAAACCGATAGTAGACCTTACACAAATGACAGTGTTTCTCTAAATTTCCATCTCTTCATCAGGAAAAGGGGTGAGGGGGCAATGATATCCATTGCTACAGAGTGGTTCTGAAGACCTAACAATGGCTTGATCCCAAGTGCCTAGGGTATGCAGGTGGCATATCCATCCCCAGGAGTGGCAACCATTCCACAGGTCACTGAAGCATTTGATATCCCACTCCCTTCAGCCTCTTGGCTCTTGTTTCTATCTCTTGCCATCTCTGGACAATAGAACATCTCCTTAGGTCCCCTTAAGTACGTTTCCCTTCCAGGTAGAGATAAGTTCCCCTCCACACCTGTAGAGAGAGGGAGGACATCTAAGAGGAGTGCCATGACAGTTGACATGGAAGAGTCTTTCATTAAACAAGTCCTCAATCAGAAAGCGCGAAGGATCTAGGTTTCTTGTGCCTTTCTGGTTCATATTGGAGCATAGAGCTCTCATCTACAAAGTTACCTCACATTGCATGCTGACTGCTGGAGTTCTAGTCATTACTTTGTGTTCCAGAACTTAGGAAGAAGGGAAACAAGGGGGTATGAAGGAGTGAGGGGGTTGAGAAAACAAGGAAGGGAAGGAAGCACACAGGGTGAGTGGGCAGGCAGGCAAAACAGGAGCATCTTACTGCTAAGAAACCTCAGAAGTCACACAAAACACTTCCATATTTAGTTCCATTATTGCACTTAAGGAAGCTAGAAAATACAGTCTTTGATCTTAGTGAACTACAACCCTAAACAAGACTTCAGTGAAGGGAAGGAAAATTGATAGTAACTGTCAGACTGCCATACAGAACAACATCATCTTCACAATCAGTATCCCTTAATTCTGAGTAAGTCTCACTGAGAAGGTGAGTTACATACACTACAGTAAAGGGGCCGACTCACCTCCCTACTCAGTATTTAGAAAACCTCAGCATTCTCTTTTGGTGTCTTTCCATCTTGTTGTTTTAAATCCTTTCTTCCAATCCATGTTCAATGGTGTAACCCAAAGCTTTTTTGCAGTGCTAGCTTCTTGATCTCTGATCCTGAACTGTAACTTTATACTTTGATTTTAGCATCCCACCAGCTTCTTCTGAATCTTCATTTGACCATTGATCTCTTGACTTCATCTTCTTTCACCTGTCATTTAGGGAAGAGGTTCCTAACCTAGGGTCCATATTGCAAGGGGGAGAAGTTCTTACAATTGTATACAAAATAATTTACTAGCCTCACCTTTTACCTGGAGATAGACGGTATAGCTTTCCTAGGATTCCCAAAGGGATCTGTGACTTCAATTAAGTCAGGAGCTACTGCTGTAGGGTAAACTTCAAAGCCTTTAATAAAGATATGGGTATAGGAACACTCCCCCTCACCCCATGTTTTGTAAAAACATGATCCAGAATGGATAGACAGGATCCAAAGTGTCTGGAACAGAATACCACACTAGGATATTTGCTAGGCTGACTTAACAGCCATGGACCAGTGATTATACAAAGGAAACCTTAGATCTCTTCCAAGGGTTTTTTTTCCCCCTAAGTTTCTAGGAGAAGCCATGTCAGGACTAAGCTGTCAGTATAAACTTGATACCAGCTGTGAGATAAACTGGTCCCTCAGATCTAGGCAAAGACCCTCCAACAAGATACAGGTCGGGTCCAGAACCAGATGGTGGATTCACCGCATTAAACTTCCTCCTCAAGTTTGAGAATGCTGTTTCACAATACCTTTGTCTCCTCTGAACATAGGGTGTTATGTGGCACAGAATAGTCACTCATTATTTGATAAAGAGAACTGAAGGAAAGGCTAAGGAACCAAATGCTCATAGATAAGGACTCTGAAATAGATGAGACCAGATAGTCTCATGATGGAACTCTAGACTCGTCCTGCTTATCCTGAGACTAATGGCCATGTTCCTGGTTCTTCAGTAGGAAGACTGATTCATGAAAATGTAGAGACCCAAGATGATTCAGATCATGAAGCACACAACGGACTAACTCCCTAGTCTTCAGTTCCATACTTCCTCCCTTTCCCATGTGGCCCCTGTCTGGCCATGTAACACTGACTTTCCTCTAACTCAACTTTCATCCAGTCCTTGAGATGGTTCTGATATGACAGGGTGTGATTCCATTGTTTCTTGCCTTGCTTCAGAGAGCTTTCTTGTTGATGTTCAGTACTGTCAGATTCTAATACACAAACTGCCACCAGTAGTAAGTACCTCTTCATTATGCAAATGTTTTTTTCCATTCCAACATTTCAAAATAAATCAGTGGAACCATTGATAATGCATTTGTTCAAGAATGTGGAGGTGAACCCGTGAGTTTGCTTCTTGGTACGCTCAGCAGCCCAGGCTAAACCAGGAATCCTTCTCTTCTTCTTCCTTTATCAGGCCAGCAGACATGAGGGAGTGTTGGTTGCTACGGTGATGGGGCTCAGAGCAGAACCAAAGCATGATTGTGGCCTCCAGAGGTGATGGTAACTGAACACATGGTTTCCAAGGGTCTTCCTTCCAAATTTCCAGGGATCTCCCAAGGAAAATGGACATACTCTTTTTGGAAAAAAAAATTTTTTTCTCCTTCGCCCAGTAGACATATCCTGAGGAGCCTCTCAGGTCTTTTTTGTCACATGTACTGCCATGTGATTAATGTCACTGCTTTTTTTTTCCTCCCTGATTAAAACTTAGTGGCATCACCTATGTCTTATGTACATAGCAATAGTTATCTCATTCTTGCAAATGGCTTTCTAAATCATTAAGCAAGATTCTCGTTAGTCCTTGGCATTGGCACTCAATTCAAACCCCCTGATGATGATGCCTTAATTGGCTGGTCGGCTTAGGCATCTCTTTTCAACAAGGATGGTCTGGGCTCAGCCTAAAGACCCTAATACTTAAGAAGTTCAAGCCAAAACAAGAAAAGCGCCTCAGAACTTAGTAAATATTTTCTGTCTTTGGGCACAATTTTCTGCGGATGAGTCTTCCTTGATTTCTCTGAGGCCCTATGTTTTGATACCCTGATCTTATTGCAATGACTATCCTACCAGACAGTGCTTCTGCTTTGAATTGCTTTGGAAAGGCCAGGGCTTGTTACTGTCACATCCGTTTGTTGGGAGACACATGTAACCTGCCAGGAGATCTGATGCCCACAGTTAGCCATGTATGCCAGTTGACCGTCTTTTTGTTATTTATAATTTGTAATTAAAAAATCATTGCTTCTAATTAGTTTTGACAGATATTGACTTCAGAAAATCATAGATACATAGCTGTTCTTAGGATTATTAGTAGAAAAACTATGTAGATAATTATATTGAGATCTTTAAAACATGGGTTAATATTTTCAATTATCTTCACAGTCAACTTTCAGATTTTACGTGGTTTTTGAAAGATGGAGTTTGGACCTACCTTTTCTAAAGTCTACAAGTGTGAAACTGTCAGTCAGGTTTTTTTGTTTGTTTGTTTTGTTTTTTGGGTTTTTTTTTTTTTTTTGGTCTTTTTGAAGCAGGGTCTCCCTGTAGCCCCAGCTGTCCTAGAACTCACTATGTAGACCAGGCTGGCCTTGAACTCACAGAGACCCGCCCGCCTCTGCCTCCCAAGTGCTGGGACTACAGGCGTGCTCTACCACGCCCAGCTACAGTCAAGTTTTTTTTAAAAACGGTTCAGCCAATTGTAAGTAGAAGTTAGAATGCGGTTTTTTTTCCTTCCAATTAATATTTGCACTGCCTTATAGTTGTAAAGGTGAAAAGGAGCCATCAAAGCCATTCTTTTCCCATCAGCTCCTCTGGGTGAACCACACCTGAGACAGATGAGAAGCTCTTCTGCTAGTGAAGTCACACAGCAGATCTTCCTCCACCTCTTTTGGTAACCCAGGCTGGTTTCTGACACTTTAGGACTGGTGACATGTGATTCCAGGAAACAAATCATTTTAGTGGTTTTGAGCATCTCTTTTTAGAACCCAGCTACAAGTACTACTAAACTGGTCATCTGTGTTCCCAAAATAAGAGCGTTTAATTGTTTATTCCCATTCTCTCCACTATTCCAGGTTTACATATGAAATTGCACCAGTATTTGTCCTCATGGAACAAATAACACTTAAGAAGATGAGAGAAATCATTGGATGGTCAAGTAAAGATGGTGATGGGATATTTTCTCCTGGTGGGTTTCTTTTTGTAACTGATTGCTCTCAGGGTTGCAAGTATGCATCCTTTTCCTTTTTCTTATAATTACTAACACATGTCAATTATACACATTAAGAGGTTTTGTTGTGGCATTTGCATATATGCATGTATCATGACTTGATGATCTTTAAAAACTTTTCTTTAACACTCTCCCTCCCTATCTTTGTCAGGATGAAGGTTAGCAAACATGCTACCGCTGTATGAATTAACTAATGAAGGTTATATCTAGTTCATGCTAAATGGTGCTCTTCTAACAACAGCAAAACCAGGGATCAATGAAACAGATTATCAGTTAACTAGCTTCAGCCTAAATACCTGCTTTAATCTCTAACTCAAAGTAGAAACAATAGGAATCTTTACAACAAGAACATCTATTCTTGGAGGTAGGAAGGAGTTACAGATGGTGCTAGAGACAGCGTAATTACACCCAGGGGAAAAAAATAAATAAGAAATAGATTGTCACAGATCTTGCCACAATGCTGAGGAGGTTCCTTGGGTGGCGCTACAGGAAACTGGCCAAGAACTGGATTCCCACGGCCAGCATGTGGGGTGCTGTAGGTACTGTGGGGCTGGCGTGGGCTACAGACTGGCAGCTGATCTTGGACTGGATGCCCTACATCAATGGCAAATTTAAGCAGGATGATTAGCAGCCACCCTCCTCTGGCCTCTCGGTGACACACCACACTGCAGCCTTTGGAACAGCCTGGAGCCACCTAGCCATGTAGATGACTCAGAGGAAGCCTGCAGTGCCCTGCCAGGGGTCCTGTTCCTTCAAGGACACTTGGGATGCCTTGATGCATGTAGCATTAAAGCAAGTTCTCATACCCGCCCCCCCAAAAAAAGAAATAGAATTGTTCAGGCAATCCAAGCAGACCACAGATTCGCCTATTTCATTCTCAGGGAACTAATGCAAAAGTGGCTAGTTTATGTTCCAGACTTAACTTAGAGAGTTCTCGCCATTCTCCTTGTGTCTTTATTTAGATGGACATGAGTTTCTTTCTGTTTAAGTAACCTTAGATCTCTCCTGGATACAATAACTCAGCCGGGCTGTTCTTTGAAGAGAGTACCAAGACTGGTAACCAAGCAGTGTGCTGTTTCTTTCTGCAAGCTCCATTACTCTCTTTCTCTGTCTTTCTGAACTCAGGGAAGAGATTGATCTTTGTTCGGTAAATAGAGCAGAAAATGGAAGCTGGGAGGTTGTAACTCACCATCTCTTTGCAGCAGCAGCACCACCACCTCATCTTATATGACATCTAGGCTTTGGGTAGGCACTGGAATACATGAATCACTTCCAGACCAACTGCCTATATAGCTTGGCAATGAGCGTGACCACTTACATTCTCAGGGCAAAGGGTCTAGAGGGAAGCCTTTAGCAGTAAGGAAGCCAGCAGAACTTTTCAGGAGATTGTCCTTCCCCTTACCGATATCTTGAGACATGAGTTCAACCTTTGTGTTAAAAACATGACAGAGCCCCAACTCCTCCCACTGTGTCTGCTTGCTGACAGGGGGAGCCATATCCAACATGTACAGCATCATGGCTGCTCGCTACAAGTACTTTCCGGAAGTTAAGACAAAAGGCATGGCAACTGTGCCCAAGCTGGTCCTTTTCACCTCAGAACATGTGAGTTGGGGGCTCTGGCATTGGGATTGTGGTGTTTTCCAAGAGACTAGCCAACTTTTAACCTCAAACCTCCATTTGTTGCAGAGTCACTATTCCATAAAGAAAGCTGGGGCTGCACTTGGCTTTGGAACCGACAATGTGATTTTGATAAAGTGCAATGAAAGGTAGGCAGGGGGAAGTATTAGGTTCTTGATGTATTAAATGTATTCGTCTGTTAAATTTGTTTTATTGTGCTTAAGGACTGGCTCAGTACAGTGTGCCAAGCTGCTAATGGTCTGTTGAAAATATCCGATTACCTTACTTTTTGCTGCTACTGCTAAAGGTTTTTTTTCATGGTTAGTCTTGCTGATTCTTCATTTTAATTTCTTCTATTTGCAACAATTACAGGGGGAAGATAATTCCAGCTGATTTAGAGGCAAAAATTCTTGAAGCCAAGCAGAAGGTATGTATGATTTAGTACATCTAAACCCCATTGTTTCTGACATACAGATTTTTAAAAATATTTTCATTATTTTAATTTTATGTGTATGTGTGTATTACCTGTATGTAGGTAATATAGTGTCATGCAATGCCCTTTGAGGACAGGAGAGACTGTCAGGTCCTCTGGAACCAGAGTTACAGACAGTTGTTAGCTGCCATGTGGGTTTTGGGATTCGAACCCGGGTCCTCTACAAGAACAGTCAGTGCTCTCAACCACTGAGCCATCTCTCCAGCCCACAGAAAATTTTTTATAATAAAATGGTTTTATTGTATTTATAAGATTCTAGTCTCAGATAGTCCCTTATTTCCAATTTATGAAAGAATTTGGCCTCAAGAATAAGCCTACAATTTTTTTCCCTTTGTGAAAAATGAAGAATTTAGCCATTAAATCACCTCATGCCAAGTAATTAGTTTGATATTTTTAAACAAATTACCTGGGTATCAGAAACATGCAGTCTAATTGAACTTTTTACTTGATTCTTGTTAGATATAATCTCATTTTAAAAAGTACCATTTCATCTTGGGATTCTATTCAGCAAAGTGCTTCTGTGCCCTAGCAGACAGCCCATGGTACTTAGCAAATCCAGCTTCAACGAACTACTAAGCAAAAGAATTTCCTAGAACAGCTGTACCCCAAGTCACTGCCAGGTAGCTTCCAGGCCATTTAACAACACATTCTTGTTTGGCTACCTTTTTGCATCTTCTTTTTTAATTGTAGTTGTCTACTGAGTCCTCAACAGAGGAAATGGATGGAAGTGTTACTAGTCCAGGAGCTGAGCTTCAAAACTCCCTAAGCTTCATGGCCTCCCCAATGTCTTAGCTCTTTTCATTCACATCTTTAATTTTTTCTTGTCCATGTCGATAATCACCGAGTATTAGTGTTTCAGCTTTCACGGTGTATAGCTCTCTTATCATTATTATGTGAGTGTGTGTGCATAGCCATGTGTGTGCATATGCATGTGGAGGCCAGAGGACAACCTCAGGTGTCTTTTCCAGACACTATCTATCTTTTCTTTTTTAGACAAGAGTCTCTCAACGATCTGAAAGTCACCAAGTTGGCTAGGCTGGCTGACCAGAAAGACCCAGGCAGGGATCAACCTGTCTCCACCTCTAAGATTATAAGCGTGCACCACTGCGTCTTACTTTTTAATGTGGGTTCTGGCAATTGAACTCAGGTCCTCGTGCTTTCAAGGCAAATATTGTACCAGTGGAGCTATCCCCTCAGCCCCTGTATACACCTATTTTAAAAAACCAAATAATGCTTGAGTTTAATTGTGATATCAAAACACTTAGAAATACCCAGATAATATTTGGAAGTGAAGTATTTGGAGAGGAACCTGCCTGCCATTCCAAATATTTATCATTAATTTTTCCTTCAGTTTTTATCACATAACTTACCACTATGAAACGTATGGTATACTCTGCTTATTTAATCATGTCTGTCACAGCAGAATTCTTCACCTGCTTTGCTCCATGCTGTATCCCCAGCACAAAAAGACCTGGCACATAAAAAACACACAAAACAACAACAAAAACAACAACAACAACAAAATCCTGTCAAATAAATGAATGAATAAACACCAACAAGAACAGTTCCGGTCGTAGTATCTGAACCCACACCAGCTTTGCTCACTGTTTGAAGTGAGTGCTGTTGCATTCTGCTCCATGTAGAAATGAGAAAGGTTAAAAGCATTAATCACGGCCTAGAGGGATGGCTCAGCAGTTAAGAGTGTGTGCTGTTCTTCCAGAGAACCCAAGTTCTGTTCCCAGCATCCATGTCAGACAGCTCACAACCACCTATAACTCCAAGTCCAGGAGACCCAATGTCCTCTTCTGGCCTCTAAGGGCACCTGCATACATGTGTGTGTGGGGAGAGAGAAAGAGAGAGAGAGAGAGAGAGAGAGAGAGAGAGAGAGAGAGAGAGAGGAAAAAAGGAAAATCTAAACAAAAAGCACTAACCAGCTATGTCTCTCTCATCTTATAGGGATATGTTCCCCTCTATGTAAATGCAACTGCTGGCACGACTGTTTATGGAGCTTTTGATCCAATACAGGAGATTGCAGACATATGTGAGAAATACAACCTTTGGCTGCATGTTGATGTAAGTTTCCCGATTCACACACAATCCTGTCCTGTCAGGGCAGAAATAGTGCTGTGCTCAGATATGCCTCCAGGTGCTCCTAACACCCTCTCTGGCCCTTTCTGTACACATTAGCTCCAGGTCTCCCCCACTTCTCAGCCAGCCACACATAACTAATACCTGCCACAGATCTGGTCACCCTCTGGGACTCGAATCAAGTTTGGCTGGCAATAGCTGTCTCTGTGGCTCCTTCTTCAGTCTGCTAGACTAAGGTGGACACTGCCTCCCCAGTCTGCTTCATTTGGACAAATAGCTGCAGAGTAAAATATAACTAATTTCAGAGGGAAAAACATAAAGTATAATATATAGAAAGTGCTGTGTATGTGGCATGGATTTATAACACTTCTAAAAAGAATAAATACCTACTATGTACAGGAAAAATAAGGAAGTGTGCAGAAAGCATTATCAATGAAGATACTTAGTCCCAAATTTTTCCAGAAGCACCAAATGTTCATTCTTACATGTGTGATTGGCTTTTTTTCCTTTCTCCCTGTCCATTCTCTTGCTGGATGTAACTTCTTGAAAATGAACAATGGAGAAATCTGCCCTGCTATTGAATGAATGACTAACAGAGGCTGTGTTGTATGATAGGATATGCCACGCTATCCAGTAAATAGGTGTCATGATTCCCACAACAGTCTCTTACTGTGGCTAGAATTTAGTATGGTGTCGAAACCCAAGCTGGTGCTTTCTGAACATCTCAGAAACTGTTAGAATTACACTTCAGAAGAAGCAGACAGCTGCCTCTGCCATTTAAGTAGCTTTTGATTCCCTCCTGGTAACAGAAGGGAGAGCATTGGGCTCAGTGTATCTCTGGTTCCCACAGCACTTTGGGCCTTTGGGTCTTGCTCCATAAGCATCACAGACCCACTTTCTGGATCATAAAGACATTATCTGGAGAAAGTTTTTATAAAGAAATGGCAAACAGTGAAGAACCCCACAGCCTGCGCTGGTGGAACAGTTGGTGTGGGCTCCTTCCGTCTCCCTTGTGTTTCATTAGGTGTGTGGCATGACCAGTTTTAGATTCGTCAGTGTCACAGCTCCTTTCCTTCCCCTTTCTGTCCTTGCAGGCTGCCTGGGGCGGTGGTCTGCTCATGTCCCGGAAGCACCGGCACAAACTTAGTGGCATAGAAAGGTATGGTGACCTCGGTTAGCTTCCTTCATCCAGTGCATCAAATGCATGGCACACCTTAGTCCAGCCACTCCTCGTCCAGCCCTTATGTCAGCCTCAAGTCCCCCAGCCCTCATTCCCAGCAGTCTGACTAAGCTCACCAACTCAACTGGTATATTTCAAGTATTTATTGTATGATTTATTTCCTAGTCAAATGAGTTCTAGTGTGTTCACAATGTAGACGGAAAGAAAGATACATGAACAGGCCATTACAAGATGAAATTGCACGTGCCCACGGAGGAGAAAAGAGAGATTACGCAGTGTGGGGGACTAGAAGCTAAATCAGTTTGCCAAGGAGGCAGGGAAGCTGCTGATTCCTTTGGCTCTTCTTCCTCAGTAAGCTGGCTGGTCCCTAAAGCAGTAAGACATTCATCTCCCCTGACTTATCTCAGTAGCTATTGGAAAAGGAGGAGACAGGAAGCAAGGGTGTAAGAAAAACTATTCCAGGCAGTGAGAATGGCCTGCACAAGGCTCTGAGGCACAACTGTTCTTGGCAGCCTGGAGGATCATTAAGAGGCAATAGGCATGGAGCAAGGCAGAAATGGTTAAGAGCAGGCCAGCAGGAGAACTGGATGGGGAAGGCATGCCAGGAACACTTACTTAGCAAGGACTCTGGCTTCTGTGGCTGCTACTGTGCCCGTCCACTTCTGTTCCCATTTTGAAAGGCCCATGTCCATATGGGTTAGGCCAGCCCTTTAAAGCAGTCATATGACCCTAGAATTTGGAAGATAACGTATTAGATGTAGATGAGCCTGCCCAACTTTACTTTATATTTCTTAGCCAATCTTCATGTTCCATCCTTGAGTCTAGGAAAATGTGAAACAATTTGCACTAGACTTTTTTTTTTGTCTTTTTTGAGACAGGGTCTTCCCATAGCCCCAGCTGGCCTGGAATGCACTATGTAGACCAGACTGGCCTTATACTCACAGAGATCTGCCTGCCTCTGTCTCCAGAGTGCTGGGATTAAAGGCATGTGTCACCACACCCTTTTTTTTTTTTTTTAACATATAGTGCCCTATTTTGTTCCACTTGTAGAAGCAAAGAATCATTTGCTTCCTGCCTTTAGGATATTCAGAAAACCCCATTTAAAACCATTTACAAGAGCTAAATATAATTTTTAATGACTTGATAAATGATAGAAAATTGGTTAAATTCATACCTTCTGAACATCTGACTCGGATTCTCAGTTTAACTGTCCTGGGGATTTCTCCCAGATCTCTTTCATGAGGCTGACCTAAGGAAAAAGTTCTTCCTCTACTTCCTTGAAACTCAGTACATATATTTCCCTTCTAAAGGACTTAAGCAAGAGAAAGAGACTAAAAAACCCACAGCAGGGGGACTAGGAGAGCACAGGCAATATAATTCTGAGGCAATTGTGTGTGGAAGGGAACGTCTTTCACAAGTATTAAAATGCAGAGCCTAGCTGTGGGTGGGGCCACGAGGAAAGGGTCTGTAACCCACTGAAGCAAATTTCCCAAGTTTTAATCATCATATATTACACTTAGTTGTTTCTGTAATGCCCTAGCTAGTGTGCTCCTTATCCATCTAATTGTGTCTGACAGAGTGATGTGGTTGCTAGGAGACCATGCTTGTTACACTAGCATTGTAGCTCAGACTGGCAAAATTATGCTCGTCTGCATTTGAACAGTGCTGCTAGGTAGTCAGAGTCTACGGCAGGGCAGCTGATTGTTGCTCCTAGGTTTGCCATAAGTAGATATGTCCTCATCACTGGGCCTTCTTTAACTCATAACAGAAAGGCAGAAAGAAGTCAAAGGCTGTTACCTAAACCTGCTGCAGCGGTTATGAGCACCAACTCTGTAATTAGAATCCCTGAAGTTGGTCCTTACACCAGCACCTACCAGCTGTGTGACTTTGGGTAATGTGCTTAACCCTATCTGTGAGTCTCTCTATCTAAAGTACAAATAATAGGAATACCTGCATCATAGTGTTGCTGTGAGAATTATGTACATGGGGCCCAGTGATAAGCATTTCATATTTTATAAACTTGTTTGCCTTTCATTCAGTTCTGGTGAGGCAGGCACAACTCTGAAGCACAGATGAGTTATGTAATATATCCAAGCAAGAAAATGTCAGAGCTGGCTTTCAGACTTGGATAGTTTGGCTGCAAAGCTGGAATACTTAGCCAAGTTCCATACACCTAAAGCTCTCAGCAGTAGGACCCATAAGTGCTTCATAAGTAATAGCTGGTATTAATAGCAGTTGTTTAGCAGTCTGCAGTCAACACCGTGAGACAGCCTGCAAGCATGCATTGCCTGCTTGACCATCAATTTAGGAGAATAGGCAAGGAACGCGTCAGGGACTTCGGTGGAGATGGAGGAGCTTTCCCCACTAGGACAGGCTCTTCTCTGTCTTTCCCATGCCTTCTCAGAGGTTTCTGTGCTTCTTTCAGGGCCAACTCTGTCACCTGGAACCCTCACAAGATGATGGGTGTGCTGCTACAGTGCTCAGCCATTCTAGTCAAGGAGAAGGTCTGTACTCCCTTGGAAGATGGGCTGGCAGCCTGAACATCCCAGGCTCGAGAAGAAAATGCTTAGCAGCCCCCTTGTGAGCCTGTAGGCTGTCCTTTCCTGCCGTCCTAGCTAAGCCAGATTTTTCTCTTAGCTTTTGCTGTCAACTACTCTTTGTCTTTATTCAGTACTTGGGACTCTGTTGGTGACAGACCCTTTAATGAAATTCTTTGAGTAGCCCTTCATGTCTACACAAACATAAGAGTGACTGGGTGAGCCACCTAATCAATGAGAACAAAAAGTGCTCACTGGAGCGTACTATGAGTTCTTAGTAGGCATCTGTAGTCTCAAGAGTTGAAAAAATAATGTGGAAACAGAAGTACAAACACCGACTCAGATCAGCAGGGAATGTTGACCAAAAAGTTTCTATAGGCCCAGTAAGACAGCTCAGCAGGTAAAGGTACTTGCCACCAAGCCTGATGATCTGACTTCCATCCCTGGAACCCACATGGTAGGAGAGACCAGTTCCCACAAGTTGTCTTCTTGATCACTTCACATGTGCATGTGAGTGTACACACACACACACATACACACACACACAATGTATTTTTTCAAAGCTTCTATAAATGAGTTAGAACCATATTCCCTTCTTTATGCACATGGCCTTAGGACCCCTCAACACACAAAATGCACTGATTTTCTGTAAACCTACTGCAGATAAGGTATCCCACTCAGCCTGTCTCCTGTGGGAGTCAGAACGCACACAGGCTCTTTCCTCCACTCACATTGATTCATAGGCGATCTTGCATGAATTAGACTTGAGGGAGGAGGGAGCACTTTAGGGTAGGAAAGTTCTTCATAACAGTAGCTTTCCCACCCACTGGGGATGTTTTTATCCTAAGCCCCACCCAATGAATGACATACTAAATCCTCCTTTGGTATGAAAAAACTCAGAATACCCACATACATTTCCAAATGATCCTTAGAGGAACAGCAAGTCCCTTATTGTAGGCATCCAAGACCAGAGAACATTTTCTAACATTTCCAGAATAACAGAAGGCAGAAAGGCAGAGTTTTTTTTTTTTCCCCAAGAGTGGTTTCAGATGACTTCAAAACAATTGTAAAACCTACAAAGGGCTGAAGAAAAGTGGCATGGCCCCCAAAGCTATCCCTGCACCACATCTCTGACTGTGTCTTGGTTTCTGTGACAGGGTATACTACAAGGATGCAACCAGATGTGTGCAGGATACCTCTTCCAGCCAGACAAGCAGTATGATGTCTCCTATGACACTGGGGACAAGGCGATCCAGTGTGGCCGCCATGTGGACATCTTCAAGTTCTGGCTGATGTGGAAAGCAAAGGTATGAAGAGGGAAATCCAGGAAACAGAACAGAAATATGGCTTGCACAGACTAGTGAAAGAAAGACAGTGATGTATTACAGAGAGCTCATTGTGTATGCAACCAGTTATCTACATAACTGAGCTAACTGCATTTCCTTGTGAATGGAGTAACTTCATTCTTTTCTGTCAATTCTCCCTTCAGTTCATTCTCCTTTGTTTGAATTATCATGAAAGTTTCTCTTAACTTTCTCTTATTACTAAGAATTGTGCTAAGATAAGAATTTCCACAATAATTCTTTTTTTAATCTTTATTTTAACTATTTTGGGGTGGCATGCATGTGCCATAGAACACATGTGGGGGTCAGAGGACAACTTGTGAAAGTTGGTTCTCTCCTTCCAGTATGTGGATTCTGGAGATTAAATTCAGGCCATCAGGCTTGGCAGCAAGTGCCTTTACCCATTGCACAATCTTACTACTCTAAAGACTCTAAAATTATTTAGTGAAGATGTAGAGGAAAAGATAAAATCATTGTATTTCTGAGGAGAACTCTGAATTCCTGTATGAGGCCTCCTATCATGAACTATATATGTAAGTGCATATACATACCACAGTTTTAGATTCTATTTAATTAACTTTCCCATGACTTGTACTTCATATGCTATTCTGGAAACTTCATAGTGTGTGTGTGTGTGTGTGTGTGTGTGTGTGTGTGTGTGTGTGTATACATGCCGTGGGGGTGCAAGTGGTGTGTTCAGAGTATGA